AACTGTGGTTGCTGTTATTCTGAGAAGGCATAGATCCTTCCACTACTGATGCCCAGTAGTTTTACCAGGAAATGCTTTCTAGCTGACATTGACTTCATGACTCATACTTGAGTCCAGAATGTTCAGAGAGAGCACAGCGGGTCTACAAAAGCTGAGCTGTAAAAATCTCCACTATAGGGAAAGGAGACTTTGGGGATACTGCATACTTTCCAGTAAGCAGCTGTGTACAGTATGATGGATGTTCACTGCGGAACATCCTTGCCTACCTGGCACAAGAGGGTCTGGAGAAGGTTTCTGGTATGGGTGCATGAAGTGAATTGAAAGACACCTTTTTCGATCTATCAAGTAGCTCCACATGAATAGGAAAAATATTTGTTCACGATCAGACAGTGGTGTCACTGCTTCTGCTAGTCACTTCCTGAGGCACAACACCTGTGCCACATTCCTCAGCCCTATACTCAAATCTCTTACTGTCCTTTCCTCTCTCACCTCCTCCCTCTTCCTACCTTGTCATCCACACCAGTGCTTGGAATAGAATAGTGGTTAACTTGGTTGGTTAAATGGTCCCATATCCAGGAAACAGTAATTTTATCCCTTGTGATAGAAGCTGGAAAATTCTCACATTGCTCTTTTGAGGAGATTGGCTCCCAAGGATTCAGGCAGTCTGTCTTCAGGCAGGTCTATCTGCTAGAATGAGCTCAGCATCTGCACACACACTCACTGCTATTTACAAAGGCCACTAAATCTATAAAGAGAATACATTTTTGCTTCCGGCTCAATCAATGGTATACTCTTTCTTTTTCATAAACACTAAAAAAAAATCCTAAAGTCAGTGTGTTAGCTCTGGAGCCCAAAAGAAGGACACAGCGAATGTTTGTTTCTTCCTGTTCTGCCTTACAGGCAGACACTTTGAGTCATTTTAGAGCAGTGAAGCAGATTCATGCAAAGTTACTCACCCACTCTTCTTCTGTCTTCCCTCCCATCAGCTATACCTGCTAACACTTTGAAGCACAGATTCCCCATGTTCCCATGACATAAGGATTACATACAGAGGGCTTCATAACTAAGAAAGACATGAAGGACCAGCTAGTCTGGTTTCAGACTGGCTGGAGGTGAAGTGATGGATTGAATGGGGATCTAATTCATGACTTTGACCTGGGTAACAGCATGTCCTTCTGTATTAGCTGGGAACATTGAATTTCAAGTACCAGGTAATCATTGAGCTAGCTTATGTCAAAATGGAAATTTATGTGGCCAGACTGGTGGTGTAGTGGTTAGGTTCATGTGCTCTGCTTGGAGGCCCAGGTATGATGGGTTAGGATCCCAGGGGCTGACCTACACACTGCTCAGTAAGCCATGCATCCCACATGCAAGGTAGAGGATTGGCACAGATGTTAGTTCAGGGACAACCTTCCTCAAGCAAAAAGAGAAAGATTGGCAAAAAGATGTTAGCTCAGGGCCCATCTTCCTCACCAAAAAAGAAAGAAAGAAAGAAAGAAATTTATCATCAAGATATTAGGAGTGAAGGGGGGTAGTCACAGAAGCAAGCAAAAGCAGCTGAATCTCAGGAAGGAGCTAAATTCCTTCCTTGGAGGTAGGAAGGGACTTGGGGATAGGAGCTGAATTTGGAAAGGATATGGTGTCAGATATCCAGCACACCCTCTCTGTGTGTCTCACAATTTTGGCTGTTACGTTCTATGCGTTTACTTCATCTGTCTCTGTCTGCAGACCAGCTCTCTTTACAGACAGTCACTTCACAGAAAAGGCTGTGTTGCAGCTGCCCAGATCAGGTTGCTGAAGTAGCTTCTAGTCTGATTCTGATTAGCCCAGCTTGGAAAAGCTGCTGCAGGATGTTAAATTATCTGTTCCAATTATTTTCCATCCCGTTTGACATCTACAACCTTTGTATCACCTTATGGTGGGTAGAGTGTGCTTCCACCCAAATGACTTTCGTTTTGCCATGGGACTTGCTTTGGCTAGTGGAATGTTAATGAATTTGACACAAGCAGAGGCTTGAAATGTGTGTGATGTGTTGCATGGTTGAGCTTGTTATCTTGTACTCCCATGATCACCCATTGGAAGAGCATGGTCCAGCTAGTACTACCCCTCCAGCCTGGGCACTGTGATGAACACATGTGGCACAGAGCTAAACCAAACCTGCAGCCCAGAGTCAAGCCAGGTTAGAGTAGCCAAACCCTAGTTGTTCTGCAGACCCATGAGCATAAAGAATAAATGTTTCTCGTTACAAACCACTTAGTTTTAGATTGCTTTACTGTGTGTCAATGTGGGAAAGAAGGAAGGAAGGACAGTAAAAGGAAAGAAATACCCCAGAAAGAAGGGAGCATGTCAAAGGGACACAAGAACCAATTGAAAGAGCTCCTAATAACTAAAGCTGGAGCAATTTGTGTAACTAAATAGAGTAGAATTGAAATATACAAAGTATGAAACAAAATCCATGAATCCATATCAATACAAATAAATGATTGAATAAATAAATAAACGGGGTTAGTATAGACAAGTATTCTTTTCATGCAGAAGGATTCAAAATAATCTATGTAGATACTTTATTCTCAAGGAAGACGAGCATATTTCCCATTCCTTAAATGTAGACTGTGCATAGTCATTTTCTTCCCAAAAGTACAGTATGAAAAAGAATGGAGGAAGTGACTTCATAGAGGAGAAACCTGACAAACACTACCTCAGCAATGTGATCAAGGTCAATATCAACAATGATAGTCATCTTGATAGTATGTTCCCTTGATACGATGTAATGAAAATGGTACTTTACCTCTGTGGTCTTCCGCCCAAAACCCATATTCCAATATATTCATGAGAAAGCTATCAGATAAATCCAAGTAGAAGAGCATCCTATAAAATATTAAAAAGTAATCTTCAAAATTGTCAAAGTTGTCAAAAGCAAGGAAATCTAAGAAACTCTTACAACCAAGAGGAACCTAAGGAGACATAATTACTAAAATGTAATGAGATCCTGGAACACAAAAGGGACATTTAGGTAAAAACTAAGGAAATCTAAATAAAGTATGGACTTCAGTTAATGATCATGGATCAATATTGGTTCATTAATTCTGACAAATGTATCATAATAATGTAAAATATTAAAAAGCTCTGAAACTGAGTATGGGGTATAGGAGGATTCTCTGAAATATCTTCACAACTTTTCTGTACATCTAAAACTATGCTAAAATAAAAAGTTGATTTAAAAGAAACACAATGAGATATATTTCACATGCCAAAAATAGTTATGATATAAAAGTCAGACACAAACAAGTGCTGGCGAGAACGTGGAGAAATGAGAACCATCATATACTGCTGGTGATGATGTAAAATGGTGCAACCACTTCGTCGGTTTTTTACAAAGTTAAAAATAAATTTACCATAACATCCACAAATTCCATACCTAGGAATCTACTTCAGGAAATGAAAACCTGTGTCCACAGAAAGACTTGTATACAAGCATTATTCATGATAGCCAAAAAGCGGAAATAACCCAATGCTCATCACTTCAATGAATACAAAGCACACTATATATATATAATGGAATACTACTCAGCAACAAAAAGTAGTGAACAACTGATACATGCTACAGCATGCGTGAACATTATGCTAAATGAAGAAAGCCAGACACAAAAGACCACATATTGCATGGCTTTGAGTATATGAAATGTACAGATAACACAAATCTACGTGGACAGAAAATAATTAGTGGCTGCCTGTGGCTGATGGTGAGATAGAGATTGACTGTATTGGGGCACAGAAGTCTTTTTGGGGTAGTGGAAATGCTCTAAAATTGGATTTCAATGATGGTTAGACAATTCCATAAATTTACTAAAAAGTATTGAATTGTACATTTAAATTGGGTGATTGTAATGGTATGTAAATTATATCCTCATCAAGCTATTAAAGAAAAAAATCAAAGGTATGGATGTTATATCCTGTGTTAAGACATCTGAAAATGTCAAAGTGGTACAGATCTCTAAACCAGACAAAAACTCCTAGAAATATTAAATGTACGAATCCACATAATCTTGATGCAGCAGATGTTGTAGGTGCTTCTACCACATCCATTTTATCAGGCAGATGTACTCACCCCCCAGCTGTTGCAGGTGTTGTGTGTTAATAGCTCACATCTTGACTTCTCTCTAGAGGATTATTCTTAACTGTCTAATCCGAGAGGCCTCAGAGGATATACTCCCACCTCCCTTCTATGGTACTGACAGTAGGCATAACTGACTAGTGAGGGTCTGTCACAGCCCAGCCCACTTTCCCCCGGCTGGGATTAAGCTAGGGCTGGACACCTCCTAGAACTCCTTTGCCCAGCTTCTTCTCCTGCACCTTTTTTTTTTTGTTTTTTGCTCTTTTACTGGTTTCACTGCAGAGCACTCCTTCACCATGTCCTTTACACAAGGATCCTTGTAAAATCTCTGCTTATAGGGTGCCAGATTTTGAACACCTGATAGACTCAAAGTTCCTGTAGTTAAAGCTAGAAAGAAGAACACATCTAAAAAGATTCGTGAATGTCAATTTTGACACAACTGTGCAAATATAAATGTTGATTTAAAATTTTTGACATAGATCTAGAAAATGAGTGTCTCAAAACTGCAGTTTGTTAACAGGCTACAGGTGAGTGCTAAAATCCTCTCTTCACCTGTGTCACTCTGCTCTTTGCTCTACAGATTTTCCTCATGACATTCGGACCCTGGAAAGCTGGTAGACCTGTTTCCCGGCTGCATTTGTAGTCTTTGGAAGCCCTGCAGAGCCAGCACGCATCCCTCGGATGTCACTTGCTTCTTGTAAGTCTGAACAGTTGATCATTGAGAGCAACAGAGAACAGTAGAATGAGACCACTGCACGATAGCAAGAAGATGGCTTTAAGACAGACGACACACAATATTTTACTCTTTTAGTGTGTTCATAAAAATTGCTGGAAGATATAGACAGACACTTAGAATAATAATGGGCTCTGGTCACCAAATTGCACAGCAAAGGAAATGTAACCATTTTTTATTCATGTCATGATTAAACTGAGTTGCATCAAGGTGAAGTCTGATCAATGCTCAAGGTTTCCAAATCAATTCCCTGCACATGAAAAGGCCCAAGGTCTCCAGGCTTGGGGATCACAGGGCAGTGGATCACAGAGAACAGCCCAGAAAGCTGCCTTAACAGCTCTGCGCCAATGTTCTGCTGTCTGGGAAGACATTGCTTTGGATGTCAGGGCTCAGGCACTTTGTCAAAGTTAAAAGAAAGGATGACAGGCCAGACAAGCTGGAAGCAGCTTGACATAGACGTTTACAACCACATCAACTTGTTGTTGGAAGCAACTTGATGTAGCCCATAGATAATACACTGGCCTTGGAGACGAGAGAGGTGTGTCTGGTGTGTTGATATATTTAGCTTTAGTCATGAGTCCTTAGTTTTATTGTTGTTGTTTTCTTTCACCTGTAAAATAGGAAATAATGGCAGGTAAAACAAAATGAATTAAGACTTAATACAAGAAAGTTTGTTTTCCTTTTCCCCCTTCTCGTCACTTCATTGTCTATCCCTCATTACTTCATGCTTTATGCTGGCCATGATATCTGCTTTATAGCCAATGCTTGGCCTATGTCAATGTTAATTTGGCACAAAACAAGGCACTTTCCAAACATTAGTGAGCAATCAATCCTATAATGAAGTTTTACAAAGAGATGAGAGTACTTTGGAGGGAGGTGGTATGGTTTAAGTTGCCCATCCACAGCAAAGCAATTGAACCCGCAGATACTCTGTTCCTCAAAGGATCTTCGTTTCCTATTTTAAAAAGCAATTCTAAAAGAACAGCTAGCAAAATGTCAAAACCACCAGGAACACAAAGGGAGAAATTTGAAGGCAAAGCAAATCTATTTGAAGTGACAGGACGAGACAAGAGGGGAATGGCTTTCTGATATCCAGTGAGATGTAGTGATTATTAATGTTGGGAGCGTATCCTTTGCAAAATTTTCATCCTGTTTAAGCTTTCTATAAACACGACTGAATTCAAAGAAAGTATCTGTTGCAGACCTGATATTAACTCCTTGATCTGTGATTCCCTGCCACCCAAATCTACCACACCCTTTTCCTTCATTAACCGTTTGGTAGAAGGTAGGTATTTACCTTCCAAGGTGTAAATTACACAATTCCAAAATACCTGAAGAGAGAACAGCCCACGTCGCAGACCTTTCCCACAGCACACACTTTGCATCCTCACACATTTGCACGTTTCTTTATAAATACTCCAGGATATTTTCTGGGCTTGTTTGATTGTCAATGTATATCTGGAAGATGTATAAGGAAATAGACTAAGGATTCATTTTTTTTCAAACCGCAAAAATTCAATTCAATAAATATTTGTGATTGTCACATTTAACTTTTATATATCTTTCATAATGTTAGCTTTTTCATGTATGAATGCTTCGTCTTCACAACAAGGCAGTTCTTCAACAACACATATTGATTAAGGGCCCTGAAGACCAGGCACTTCCAGGGATGGAGAGCTGAGTAGGAGCCATCATGTCTTTGCAGGGTTGTTAGTAAAGGCCAAACCACAACCACGCACGTGGTAAGAACATATGGAAAGTTACTTATATTTCCCCCACTTTCAAAAGCAAGTCTGAGGCTGCCTACAAAATGCTCAAATAGATGTGTGAGACATTAAGTGCAGGAACTGAGTCTCTATCATCTTTCCATTTCCAAATCAAGGATGGTGCCTGGCCCAAACACTGAGGCTTTCAGTATGGTTGTTCTGTGGATTGTCATAGGGTTTAGTCTGTATCCACACAGTATATAGTAAGGAATCCAAAAACATACCAACACAACTACTGTCCTCATGGAGGCCATGCCATAATTAGGAACAATATGAGATTCTGTTCACATCAGGTACTTGTCAATACTGAGCTCTGTACCTGACTTAATAATCCTTGGACCTGTATCACATCGTCAAGCGACTTTACTAAAACAATTCTCAATCATTCCAAACTTTGAAGAGAAGGCAGAGCTTAAAGTTGGGAGACTAAAGCTATTCTAGAAGGTGGATGGTGATATGCAATAGTGACTGTGATTTATTTTTAAAATGCCTTCTATTAAATTCTTTAAAAACAGTTTTATCTGCACATACTCAACTTCACTTCATGTGATATGAATAAAAAGTAACATAAAACTCAATGACATTACCTTTTCCTCCATTTTCCCTGATATATTTTCTACAGTTTGAATAAGAATGAGAAAAGTGCTAAAGGTTACATTGTACTGAGATTATCACAGAGCCAGCTCACAGAATCTCAGCAACTAGCATAAAAAGTAACTGATGTAAATAGTGAGGAAGTGGAGTCGTTATTGCCCACAAACATCCTGGATGATGTTCTAACTCGGGATCCTAAAAATTTTGAAAGATGATTCAGCATCCTAAAAGAATGTGCTGTTCCGTTCAATCTAAACAGTGGCTCTCTTCGGTTTCTTTGTACGCTACATGATTCTCTGCCACCCACACGGAGACAAGTAAAGCAAAAGAAAGTCCTTGTCCCAATGCTCCCGTGTGCCCTGTGCAAGGATCCTCTAAAGCCTTTCTCATCCGCCCCAGTTGGTTTACCTCTTCAGCCTCATTTTCTGTGACTTCTCCCTGCTCTGATTACCTTTATTCCAGCCTTAGAAACCTTCCCACTATTTCCCATACTGTTCCGTTCATCCATTCACTGTTGGCCAAGCGATTCCTCAAAGGCAAAGTTCTTTTAAGAGTGAATTGATCTCTATTCTGAGATCTCATGAAATTTTGACACATCTTAAAATGCTTTAATGATAACTGTTACATCATAGTGTAAGCCCTGACAGTTGTTTATTTGTTTGTTTGTTCATAATGCAAGTGCCTGACAAGTTTTGATTGCCTAGGCATCCACTTCAGAGTGGCATCCACTCCAAAAACAGCTATCTGGATAAGCACATTGCCAGCCACAGGACTAGAGAAAGAACCGGTCCCTCACCCCCACTTCCTTCGTTTCAGAGATTTCAGCTTATTTCAATAACTGACCATTTTTCTCTTGCTGCACTTTAAATTCCCACTCTTACCATTTTAAATTCACCGATAAAGAGTGAGCCCATGAAACCCTAGGCCCCCAGCCTTGACCCCAATAAAAGCAGAACCCCAGGCCCATGCTCTCTCTCTCTCTCTCTCTCTCTCTCTCTCTCTCTCTCTCTCTCTCTCCAGACAACCTTGTTGTGGGGCCTCAGGTGTGCCATGTAATTTCCAGGACATGAGAGTAATAACCTTTGTCTCTTTCAAAGTTTCCTGGTGGTTATTGCTGAGGGAGTCTTGCAATCATAATAAGAACCATGAGGGCTAGTCCAGCCACACATTGGTCATGGATAGGCTGAGACCAGCACAAAACAGAGCTTCTTCAAAAAATTAAAAATAGAATTACCATATGATCCAGCAATCTCACTTCTGAATATATATCCAAAGGAATTGAAATCAAGATCTTGAAAAGATATCTTTGCCTACTTACCCAATTAGATTCCAAGATTCCTTATGTTCACTCATTTGCAAGCATCATTGATGTCAACTTCTCCAACCACTGTATTCATGTGCCAACCCCAACTCTGCTTGAACCTATCCATATTTTACAAGCAACTGTCCATTATCTACTTGGCCATGAGCCTGAATGTGATGCCATATGGAAGTTGAGAGCTATGAAGGGGGCAATGGGGAGATATTAAAGTCAATAGTAGCTGTCCTCTGCAGGCCATAGCTAATGGTAGGAGATGCTATTACAGAACTAGTCTCACTTATAGCAATGAAAATGATAAGGTCCTGAAATAATAGATGTCAGATGATGGTATTTAACTATCAAAATGAAGTGAGAATAGTTGTAATGTGCTGAGTAGCAAAGTAAGAATAGCAGTCAAGGGAGCTCTTCCTGCAGAGAGCTTTGTGGATGGTTCATATAACACAGCATCTGTGGGGCCAAGGTAGATCTCTATGTTCCAAAGAAATCAGAGATGGATAACTAGGAGACTGAGGGAAATTTTCTCAACAAAAGTCATAATCCCTTGTTCCATTTCTAGACCTGAGCCAGTTCTCAGACCCAGAACCAATTGACTGAAGGAGAGACCTTGATCCCAAAAGAAAGGGCCTACAGTATGACAGTAAGTACATATGATAATAACACTCCCAATTCTTCCTCATGGGAGCTATGACTATGCAATTATGTAACTATACACTGGGGAAAGGAGAAATCCAAACATTTCTGAAACTATGTGATGCGTGGTTCTAATTAACATTAATATCTGGGGACCCACAGTGTCATCACAACTCCCCCAAGTGGAGTAAGCTGCCAGTTAATAAATGGAGTCGTGACCAAGGTCCGGCTCATGGAGAATCCGCTCAGCTCAAAGATAGACCAGGGTTCATTTCCCTCTTCTCAGAATTTATCATTAGAGTGTGCATACTTGCTGGTTGGCAGACCCCCACACTGATTCCTTGACCTACGGTGTAAGAGCTGTCACACTGGAGAAAACCAAGTGAAAGCATCAGAAACTGTCCTACTAAGGAGAATAGCAGAGATTAGTACCATCCATAAAGACCTAAATGATGAAGAGGTGGTAGTTCCCAATATATCCCTTTAATTTACCAGTCTGGCCACTAGAAAAGTCAGCTGGAACCTAAAAGATGACAGTGAACTAATGCAAATTGAATATAGTAGCAGCCCCAGTTTCAGCTGCTGTGCCAAATGTGGTTTCTTTGCTAAAGTGAATTTGCTGAAGCAAGTTAATGGGATTGTTAAGTTCATAATATGTGGCCATTGATCTGGCAAATCCGTTATATTCCAGTCTTGAGGAAAATAAGATTTTGCATTCACTTGGGATGGACAAGAGCATGTATCTACAGTTTTGCTCTTCTTTGTTGAGATCACTTAATTAGAAGATCTATAAGGCCCCCTATATTTCTGAGATTGTGTCCTTTTTTTTTGAGGAAGATTATCCCTGAGCTAACATCTGCTGCCAATCCCCCTCTTCTTGCTGAGGAAGACAGGCCCTGAGCTAACATCCGTGCCCATCTTCCTCTACTTTATATATGGGATGCCCGCCACAGCATGGCTTGATGAGCGGTGCCATGTCCTCACCTGGGATCTGAACTGAAGAACCCTGGGACACCGAAGCGAAGCGTGCACACTTAACTGCTGCACCACCAGCTGGCCCCAAGAGACTGTGTGCTTTTAAATAAAAGTGCAAGATACTGGGGGAAGATTTTATGCAAGAGAGGATTTGATCCTAAGCTGCAGTAGAACAAAAATTTTCTACCTGTTTTGCTGATCGGTCAACTTCAACTGATGGTACCCTTATATTTTGGATAGGCAAAACTAAAGTCACCTGGTACTCTAGGAATGCAAGAAAAAGAACTTCAAAGATAGTTTAAGATAGCTGTGGGCTAGGAGTCAAAAGATCTTTTATTTGTTTGTTTTAGTTTTATTGGTTTTTTTTTTTCTTTTTTGTTTGTCTCTGTCCCTGGTATTTCATTTAGTCACTTTTCCAACCCGTTTCCATTAGATACAAGAAGCAAAAAGATCTCATAACCTGAGAAAGCACTGTATATATTTCCTCTTGGAAAATGTATGAGAGTTTTCAGAAGTACACTGCAGAGATGTTGGGCATAAATGATGCGGGAAATGCCCATCAATCAAGCCTCAACTGCTGGTGTCTCAAAGAATTTTGGAACAATACAGTTGGAATTTTCTCCTTCAACCAAAGTCTATACCACTAAGCATCTTGAAAGAGACTTTAAGAGCAGTTTCCCTGTAGACTTATTGTATACATGCAAGGACATCAATCTCTTTAAATGTTGGGCAGAGAGAACAAAGGCTATGAATTAGGTGTGCCTCTTGTCCAGAAACATGGCAAAGATAAAGAATCAAACACCAAATGTGCTATTCCGTGGAAACCCGTTTTGTAATACTGTATTTTATGTCAGCACATGACCTTTGAATTTTCATGCTGCAAATAGACATTTTAGAAAAAGCAGTTTCATCTCTTCTCACTTCCAAAATTATTATACAAACAAAAAGACATACCCTCTTTAAGCAAAGTAAAAAAATAAACTGGAAAAAATTCTGAAAGACATTTTAAAATAAAAGTTCCCTCCAGGCCGTATTTCCTACTCTATATTTCCCATTCTTTCTGGCTTTCTTCAAGGCAAAAGGCAAAGAGAGTACCAGCACAATTTGGTTTGGGATACATAGAGGTATCTGCTGTTACCCAAGTTATTATAACCCATAATCGCAAAGTTCTTGAGGTGCTCTAAGCCCATTAACCACCAGCAGTCAAACTCTGGAGTCAACAGGGCTGTTTAGGAACAACAGCTGAATATTCTGATGAGCACCTGATGCCTTGGTCTATCTTGTGAGAATTGAGTAAATCTGGCCCCTACTCCTCCCAAAGCTCCCCAGCCAACTTCTCCATCAGAATCCCACAATGCTCATATCATTTGGACAGAAACAAGAGGAGCATCTCAAGGAGATACAGATGCTCAATGTACAGGGAGCCTCATTATGCTTTCTCATTCAAACACAAAGCTTCTTAGACAAGCAGTGGGAAATCCAGATGGCTTTGGATTCTGATAAAGGTGTCTGCTCATACTCATCTATGGAGATGGAGAAACCTATAAGAACATAGCTTCTCTAATGATTTAGACCTGAGTTGCCAGATGCCCTAGATATTTCCAATCTCACTGCTGCCTCTGACACTACTCTTGCAACAGAGCACATAAAATGTTGCTCCCACTTTTTCAGGAGAAAAGAAACATCCATCTCTATGGTGCACACTGAACTTGAGAATATTAGAAATACCAAGAACCAGCACCTCCAGCAACAGTGTCACCTTTGACACTCAAGTGCGTATATCCTAGAATGTGCCCCAATCAACTGAAATCCTCCAGGCTTCCAGATGGAAAGCTGCTTTAAGTGTAATAGCACAGGGCTGGCCAAGTATGGGAGGACATACAGTTGAAGTAGCTGGCAGGTACCTGGTAGATAATACAAGTGTCTATGGCAAAAAGTAGCAGATAGGAAAGGACCTGGCTCTAGAGAAACAAGATAAAGCAGAGGTAGGCACAGGCTGATCTTGGTGATCTAGGCAGGAGTACCCAAAGCCTGGGGATAAATGCCTCAGAAAAACGAGCCCTACCCAGTCAACACAGAACACTCCAGGCAAATTGGGGCCATAATCAGAGGCTGTGGAGCCAGCCCTATGGTTACTGCCTTCCAGGTAGCATGAACTGTTATTAGAGACAGTCAGATATCTATGAAAGAACCTATGCAGACTGGGCCTAGACAGAAATGCTGGGCCCTCAGGAGGTCCCCAAGCGGAGAAGAGCCTGAGTCTGATCAGCAGGGAACAGGCATTTCTATGACTGGGTGGGGCTTTCTTGGACTCCAGAAAGTCAGACACACCAGAGCAATTCAGACGTCAGCACCAGTACTCAGACCTAACAAGGACCAATGAAAGAATGAAGGACCTGCTTCCAATGAGAGTGAGGATGTCATGGCAAAGCACTTGTGATGCTACCAAGCATGCCTGGAGACACATGGTCCAGGCCTGGGGAAGAGCAGACTCAGATCTCTTTTTCCCCTACAGTCACAAAAATATAACAAATGCATCCTAGCGTTTGCCTCTACTGTGCATTACAAAGAGTTGCTGCTGTTTTCCTCTGAGCAAGACAACCCTTATGCTTACTTACTGCTTTTTGTTATGCTTTGCAGCACAGGTGGCATTTATATATGAAAAAGAAG